GTTTGTGATGAAAGCCCTAAATCTAATTCCTAGCCCTAACTATCGACAGCGAATCATAATTCTAATTCCTCACAGTGGTTTATGACACTCTTAGGCGTAGTAGGTAGGTGGAAATTTCCAAGATCTTTTAAGCGTCGCTCAAAGATCGTCCATAAATTATAGTCCCAACCCTTTCCGCTGTATCCAGGTTCTAAGACTCTTTGATAACTACGTAACACAAACGACCTTGTTGCAGAAGTATATTAGTGGGAGTAAGTACTGAAGATGTCACAGGTGTTTGGAGTTTGACGACGCTTTAACCAGTAACGTCTTCTACTATGAATCGTACCCACTAAGTGAAAACAAAAGACAGAAGCAAGGAGGTTCGAAGATATATTTGATAGGTTATCAATATATCGATGATCGACTGATCTAGACTGATTAGCGATTGCAGGAGGTGTTTAGCACGGCGTTCCCACGCGTGATGTGGTGCGGATGCGTGACCGAGCGCCTTCAGCTAGGTGAGTCCATTAAAACTAATGTGGTCAGCATCTAATGTCGAAAACTTGCAGAGCTACTGATTTTGGGGATTTATTTGTCGCTAAAGTATAAAAAAAGAATGCCACCACCGCTGTATGGGCCAGTCAATGGTTTTTAATTAACTGTCTTACTTGGTTGTCCTTGACGTTGGTGAAGATCAGTGATTTGCTGAATATCCAGTGACCCGACTATCGGATAATTTATCTTGTGCCCAGTGGCCTTAACCTGAAAACGCTAGCAGAAACCAAAAGAAAAAGCGATTCGAAAGAAAAAGTTGTAACCAGAGTTAAAAACTTCATATAAGATGCGACGTTTTGAAATACCGAAATAACAAATATTTCTATGGCACTAAACGGAACGTAGACACAACTTCTACTCCTTAAGAGTTGTCAAATGCTGGAATTTGCTGCCGGCCGAGCTAGTCCAAGCGACTTCCCAGGAGTCCTTTAACAGGCAACTTGATCTATTCTTAAGGACTAAGGATAGTATCACACTACAACAACTGGCATGCAGTGCGACAACTGCAAAGGTTGGTTCCACGAAGCATGCACAGATCTGACAGCAACTGCTTACAACAGACTCAGCAAGTCAGACCAAAAGTGGGTATGTGTCACGTGCAGCACGGACGCAGTAGTCTTGCTGAGTAACATCATTGTCCTACTGACAGGTCTTCGGAACACGTTGTCAGTTAACTTGGATAACGATGGTAAAAAACCGGTAGACAAACAAGAGCGTGCGACGGACACAAAAATAGAGATGCCGATAGGTATACCACCGATGGAGCATCCGTCAACACTAATGATGACGTGTCGAGGCTCAGCACCATCATTAAGTCGACGGTACTAGACTCCTTAAGCAAACTCGGGTCTCCCACCTTAGGGTCCCTGAACACAACAGTGGTTCCCAAAAACCCTGTAGGTGATTCGACCCATGTTAAGAGAGCCCAAAAGAACCAGACATCACTGCCTAAGCCGAGCAACCCAAGTGTTGCTGTACGGAAAATAACTGGTGATTTGGTCGCACAGTCTACCCCCAAGACTGTTCGTCCGGTCAACAAAGAGCCCAAGACTCAAAAACGCCCACTGACCTCCAAGCGACAAGTTATTAAACCTGAACCCATCGTAAAACCTGGTAAATTAACAACAGTTCGTGACGATTCTCTCATTATCATGAACCTCGTTGACAATCCTGATCTTCCTCTCAGTCTGCAGGACAAAATCGACAGGATGCTCTGGGGTGAATTGAACAAGAAGCTCGAACTTCCTAGAATAGAGCCTTTGACGGTCACCCGGCTCACTCAAGGAAAGGATTCTAAGCATCTAAATCACCCGAGGCTTCTCCGAGTAACACTTAAGAATGCTGCCGACGTTGAGGACGTCTTGCTAGCAAGTCACTTGCCGAAATCAGATGGTAACGTAAGGATATTGCCCGACACACTGTACTCTGAGCGCAATATCATACGGAACATCCCCAAAGAAACTCGCGAACAGCTTTTCCGCGGAAGAAACATAATTGTGCAAGGTATACCGGAAAATGCAGACCCTACTCAATCAAATTCTGACATCAGGGAATGGAAATTCATCAAAAGTTCCTTGAGGCTCAAACACATACTGACTCAGCATGTGACGAGACTAGCCAAGAAGGACGGTGATCTTAGACCCCGTCTAATGAAGACAACCTTCCCGTCTTCCTATATGGCGGCTGCAGTTCTGGAAGTATTTCGTGCCAACAGACGTCGATTGCCACCTGGAATCCACATGCACCCGGATAGGCCATATGAAGCTAGGACCAAACACAAAAGCAAGTTGGAGCTGACCATTCCACTTGTGGACTGTCTAAATGATAAAAAAACGTGTAAAGGACAGGGCCTACCACCTCGGCAAACCTCATATAGGTGGGCTACCTGTCCATTCACATAAGGCTCATACAGAAAAACAGGACGAAGCTCACGCGTTCCAAATTGAAAGCATAAACTGCTTATACATGAACGCCGCGAGTCTACCAAACAAACTGGATGAATTACGTGAACTTAGCAACGCTAATGAGGCCCATCTGATAGGAATATTTGAAACCTGGATATCTTCTCAGTTCTCGGACCAAGAGTTAGCATTACCTGGGATGACTTTGTTCCGCAACGACAGAAAAACAGGAATTGGGGGCGGAGTAGCCATATACATAAGCTCTTGCTTGGAGGTGCACCAAGTTCACAACCTCAAGTTTAACAATCTTGAGGAATCCATATGGTGCTCTGTAAGATTGTCCAGTACTTCGAGGTGTCTAGTCGGAGTCATTTACAGGAAGCCAACTGCCGACATCGAGTACGGTAGTCGTATGCTGGAAGGACTATCCCGCTCTACCCGTCTCGGTTTCACACACATCCTGATTCTAGGGGACTTTAATCTCCCTAGAGTCAACTTCGCGGAACACACGTAGACTGGAGGCGACAACTCAATTGAAGCCCGGTTCTTTAACCTCATCGATGACTTGGGCTTATATGAAAATGTGAGGTCGGTAACTCGTTGGAGAAACAGTCAGGCACCATCGCGCTTAGACTGTGTATTCACTAACGAAGAATTCCTAGTTGACAACCTCTCAATCCTGGCTCCTCTGGGAAAGAGCGATCATGCCGTCATAGCCTTCAGTTTTGTCATCAAAACTAAGCTAAGGTATCCCAACGATAATTTGCGTTGGAATTTTAAACGGCTGAATGTGCCAGCTCTACATGACTATCTACAACAGGTGGTTTGGGATGTTCACCCTCAACTTGATGTGGATGGTCATTGGGACTTCCTACTGCACACGCTCCTATGTGCTACAGACCATTCAGTTCCTCAAACGGTTCCCAAAAGCTGCAAGCCACCTACAGTAATCAAGAACCATACCCTTCGCCTGCTAAACCGCAAAAGGCACTGTTGGGCAGAATACAAACGAACTGATAACGACGAAGCGTATAGGCAATATAAACATATAAGGAACATATGCACGAAGGCTATAAGAGAAGACAGGCTTCAGTACCAAACAAAGCTTATGGACAAATTCGCCTCTAACCCTAGAAGCCTATTCCGCTATGCAGCCTCTCTTCGTCAAGCCAAAACAGGAGTTTCTCAACTGCTAGGTCTTAACGGCCCGACCAACAACGATGGCGACGCCGCTAACCTTCTGGCGGCACATTACTCTCAAACATTTCAACCGGCTGACATCAACTTTATTGACGACAGTTTCATCTGCAATTCCACAGGACTTTCTGAAGTGGACCTAAGCGCTGACTTGGTGTTCCGGAAATTGCAGCACTTAAGATTAGATATTTCTCCTGGCCCGGATATGGTTGATCCTGCCATACTGAGGGAGGCAGCCTCAATCCTGGCAACGCCGCTTAGCGTGATGTTTTCACACTCGCTAAGCCGAGGCAAATTACCCGAAAATTGGAAGTTGGCTCACATCACACCAATTTTCAAAGGAGGTCGACGCAATGAACCTTCAAGTTATCGGCCGGTGGCTCTTCTGTCATTACCTTCAAAACTCATGGAGTCCCTGATATGCGACGGTTTAAACGACTATCTACTGTCCTTAAATTTCTTCTCACCCCAACAGCATGGTTTCAGGAAGGGTTACTCTTGTATAACCAACCTGCTGACTGCGGTTGACAGATGGACAAGCATCCTCGATCGCAAGGGAAAGGTTGATATCATTTACCTTGATTTCTCAAAAGCTTTTGATAAGGTTAACCATTTGTGTCTTACCAATAAGCTCAAACGATTAGGTATCAAACCACCTCTAATCGATCGGCTTACTTCATACCTAAAAAATCAACACTTTAAGGTCAGGGTTAATTTCACTTTATCTCAGGCTATGGAATGTCCTAGTGGGGTCCCCCAGGGCTCAGTACTAGGGCTCCTTCTCTTCTTGATCTACATAAATGATCTTCCTCAACAGGTAACGTCAGACTTATTGCTTTTTGCCGACGACGTGAAACTTTGGAGAGAGATACGCAACCAAGACGATATACAGGCACTTCAGGAGGATCTGACTCGACTTCAAAGCTGGGCAGACGATAACGGACTTACCTTTAACACTTCAAAGTGTAAAGTAGTCCATCTGCGACATGTTGCAAACTACAGTTACAACTTAGGAAACTCCTCTCTAGTAGTATCCTAAGTCGAAAAAGATTTAGGAGTCCTGGTGCCCCATGATTTAAAGTCTTACGCTAACTGTGACAAAAATGCCTTCCGAGCAAACCTTGCACTGGTAACGTTGAAGCGCATTTTTGGCCAGTTTGACGGAAGAACTTTCCATACAATCTTCAATAGTTTCATCCGTCCCCATTTAGAGTACGGAAATATAGTACTCCCTCCCTCACTCCAAAAGGACAAGGTCACTCTGGAGCGTATCCAACGGCGAGCCATGAAATCAGTTCGAGGACTCAAATCTAAGCCTTACGAAGAACGCCTCCGTTCACTAGACCTTTACCCACTAGAATATAGGCGTCTTAGAGGTGATTTACTAATGGCTTATAGTATTCTTAACACTTCTGGACATCCTCTTAAACACCTACTTAAGCTTAGTTCGAATAATAACCTAAGGGGTAACACCCAGAAACTGGAAATACAACATAGCAAGACGGAATGTAGACACAACTTCTACTCCTTAAGAGTTGTCAAATGCTGGAATTCGCTGCCGGCCGAGCTAGTCCAAGCGACTTCTCAGGAGTCCTTCAAGAGGCAACTTGACCTATTCTTAAGGACCAAGGACAGCATCACACTATGATTTACCAATTTCTTTTCCTCTTTTTTTGTTAACATACCTAGGTTCCCGCCTGGAGGTTCTGGTGATCCCCTGCTACTAGACACGGAAGCCTGTTAAGCGAAAGCTTCTTCTATTCCGTCCACAACCATTTGAACCATTTGAACTAATTTCTTTTTCCTCTTTATTGTTAACATACCTAGGTTCCCGCCTGGAGGTTCTGGTGATCCCCTGCTACTAGACACGGAAGCCTGTTAAGCGAAAGCTTCTTCTATTCCGTCCACAACCATTTGTACCATTTGATTGAGTTTTTAGCGCCACGTTTCACTTTGTACGCCACCGTAATGTCTTACAGATCTCAACTTGCAGAAGTAGATTTAGGAAATCTGCTTATTGAAGATAAGTGTCCTTTGAACCAGTTTAATGAAGGTATGTCACATAATATTAAGTCATACCACCAACATGGCAGTTTCGTCTTTAGATGATGATCACTATAGAACGATTTCTCTCGATTGCACTCATCATTTTTTCAAGCTATTTTTCGAAGTAATTGTATTGTACTTTCACGGTTTATTTCAGCTACCGACGGAATCAAATGATTCTGTATCTGTTTCCATTGTGAGTGATATTTATACCTCTTATTGCTGTCTTATTGTCATCAAGTTTGGAAATGTCATCCCATTTTCAGTTATTATTAGTTTCTAGTTACTGATTTTTCTCAATTATCACAAAAAATCATGTTCGGTGCTCATTTTCAACTAATGACTAACAAATCTGGTTCACTTTTTGCCGTTCTACTTAGACTCAGATTCTGATTTGTGTATTGAGGCGAGAAAGCCGACGGTCTGTATCAGTCTTTTCCTAGTTAGCCCCCGTAAGTTCTTTGTTTGCTCTCGAACAAGCCATGGGTGTGAGCACTACTCCATGTATTAAGTTCCAAGAGTCTATGATGGTGAGGAAACTTGTATCCCACATGTATTTTGCTCATTGGCTTTTGAACTCACCTATTAAATCTCCCGAGTTTTCTTTTTCTGGTATAATCGAGAGGGTGTTTTAGCCCTAAATTCGTTTACTGGCATTCTGTGAAGTCCAACTTGTCAAGCTACACTGTGTGATAAGCCTCGATATTTAGAAGTTGCATGGGTAGCTGTTCTCTGTACTTTTCACGAAGTATCCGAATCTTAAAGTCGTTTTCAAGTTTAGATCTCACTATGGTTGTGTATATTACGTTGAAAAACATGTGTATCCAAATTCATAGACGTCCGTCTTAACGCCCATAGGATTTTGAACCCCTTAGCTGCAACCGCACGCTGGTGTGTCGTGGCTCACTTCTACCTCTAAATCATTGTGAGACGACACTAAGGGCATTGACGCTTCCTTGAAAGTGAAGTTATTAACGTTATATTTCAAATGTGCATATTGACACACTTGAGTTCGTTGATAGGCACCAACCACAATCTAGACCAGGTAACCAGAATGTCTAGGTCGGCCTGAAATGTACACATTGCCCCTCATTACTTCTCGCCACGATAATGTTTTCCTAAAACGATGTTGTTCATTGTCTAACAAGTTGGTTTTCATAAGCGTTATAATGGCCTTTTTGTTCATTCTTTCTAGTATTTTAAGTATGAAACTGGTTAGGCTAACAGGTCTGCAGTCTGATGAAAGTTGTCTTAATCCTGTTTCTTAAATCGGAGTGACAGTCTCATCCTTCCATTCCGTAGGTAGCTCCCTCTGGTTGCGTGATAAACTAAATGTCGTTGTGAATGAAACAGGTATGTATGGTGCAATTCTAAAATGTAGCTCATCCTGTTGATTTTTCGTGTCTGAAGAGCTTGATTTCTTCAGTACACCGTCTTGATTGAAGTCCACAGTTATTAGCTGACTTATTGACACTGTTTTTTGATCTAGTCTTTGGTCGAGAGAAGGCTCATGGGTGTAGACTGTCCTGAAGTAATCGTTCATAACTTCTGCTTAGTCCTAGTGCTCTTGTGTCATTCTAAATGCACTTTTTTCCTTGATTAAACTGGTGATCTATGGGTGTTGTCATTCAGTAATTGATATATGGGAACAGTTGCTTTGGCTACTTGATTGGAGTTTGTGCCAATTGATTCTCATATTTCAGCCGAATTGTATGAATTGTGTTCATGCACTTATTTCAGATCGACCTGTAATGTTTCACAGCATTTGTTGCACCAAAACTGATGACGACGTCGCAGCGTCTTCTACCTTAGTAAACGTCACATCTGGTTTGTTCAGGGATGGATGTTTTTTTTTCCAGATTGTCCAGAGTATAGATGGATGAGTATGGCTTCCGGAACTGACTCCCCTTTTCTCCTGATACACGGGTCGATTTTCTAGTTCTTATTCAAGGCTTCAGATTTGATGACCCACATGTTGCGACTAACTTCGACTCCTGTAATGAACATCTGTCAACAAAAAGATTTTTAAATTCCGTAATTTAAGAGTTTCATTACTCTCCAAAGTCTATATATGGACCATACTTTCAATGTTTTTTACAGCTTCCAAAACCTACTTTTCGTCTCCCCAGAGAGAAAAAGGTTGGTGCTTCCTTTGTCCTATAATATACCATCTAGATCCCCTCAACCAAAGAACTTACTAGATGGGACAGATTTGCCCGCTTAAAGGGAATCCAGAATCGTAAGAAGTCCCGCAAAGTTTGGGATCCTGTGTCTGAATCATGGAAACCAAGGTGGGGTAAAGACCGGATCGATGATTTTAAAGACAAATGGGTACTTGAAGTTCCGGATAACGCAGGTAAAATACGTTATCGGTTTAAAAATTGCCTTACTAGATCCCTATGAGGACCAGTTTGCCAAATTATCACAAGCTAAAAAGGAACGTAGAGCCAAAAACGAGCTCCAGCGTCTCCGCAATATTGCCCGAACTGTCAAAGCGGGACAAGGTAAGTCATCAACTGCTTTTTCCAGCGAGATTGTTTGAACATGTTCGTTTGCTACCAAACTATTCACATAATTATTGACTTTCATCAAATTAAGTAAGGTTTATACTCAATAATATGCCTTGGAAAATATTTCCCAAATGCTATCTTTGTTCAAGATTTCCTACATTAAAAGCGCATGGTAAGCTGTAAGTCCAAAGGTGTACTCTGAATTGACCTCTGGAGATACCATATTTCTACTTGCAGTTATTTCAGACAAACCTATCTCAACTAATTTGAAACGTAAACAACCCAAGATATCATACACATATGTATTAATTTAAGTCATCATACCATTCAACACTAACTAGAAATCAACAAAACAGTATCTAAAAGCATTAAAAATAATAGTAATGGTAGTATAAAACTAAATAGATATTTATTAAAGTAGATAAATTCATAATAAAACATGCTAAGATTTAGGGAAATGTAAAGACCGAGTACGTCTGTTTTCACAATGAGTGTTTTTTAAAGTGCGCGTATATATTAACTATGCACTTTTTTGTACTGGATCAATCCTCACAGTCAAGCTGCGCTTTTGTATTTGGAAGTTGTTTCTGTCATATTGACTAACTCACTGGTGTTGTTCTCCATTGCTAATGCACTCCATCTAACCTGAAACGAAAATGCAGCAGGACCCAATAAGTTGACCTTCTAGATTTCTAAGATGATAGTCTAGTTTTAGTAGTTAGTCTGACTGAGATACTAGCCAGAGTTTGTGAGCTAGCCGTAATCCTATCTAATTGGTGTTGACTTCTGATCATCCCGGTTTGTGTCAGAAGACTAAGGGGCTCTTAAAATAACCGCAAAAAATCAATTTTGGTAATATAATGTCTTGAATATTATGCTCTATAGTCATCTGATGCCTTACTAGAGTTCGTAAAAAGCAGACAAGGATAAGCTAGGCTGGTCGCAGACCTAGGCGTAAATATATTGATCAAATATTCACCCTTAGATCATAAAACATAGGCATACCTGCTAATTCACAACTGCAATTGTATTTCTTGGTCTTAAGGCAGCTTTCAATCCCGTTAGTCAGTACGTTTTACGACAATCTGTTTTTGAAAGGCATCTCAAATCTCTACCCGAATACCAATAGTCGTGTTAGGTCTTATGATGAATTGTCGTCAGAATCGGGAGTTTTTATTAGTGGTCTATCAGGACTGTTCACTTTCCCCATCTTTGATTCAACTTCGTCATAGATATCCCTTTAAAGTTAATGGTTTCATCTGAGTTTTCAGACATTCATCTCCTACCAGAAGATTGAATGCTGGTTTAGAATATATATATATATATATATATAATATATATATATATATATATATATACTGCTATAAGACTTAAGGATTAAAAAACAGTAACCTTATTTTACCAGCTCCTCCTATTGGCGTTTTAACGGAATCACAGTCGTCTAAAACTGAACTGTCACGTGCTTTCGCAATTGCTCAAAACTCTGATGCATCAATGGGTCGTTTTTCTGCTCCAGTGGATAGCCGAAAACTTTCTAAGAAAGTTGAGTAAGTTTATTTTGTATTCTGCCTAACATCTGTTTCATTATAGAAAACGATCTAAGAAAAGAATTCCACTGAGTCAAGTTGTTCAAAGTACTAAAAAGAGTAAACAGAATAAGTTAATATCCAGAACAACAAAAAAGAATAAGATGAGTTCACGCCCTTCTAAAAAGAAATAGCTTTTTTGTCAAATAGCTTCTTGTATATAAATAACTATATAAAAATACACTTTTCAGTCTGTTCTCATTGTTCTTTACGTAGACTTAATAAGGAAGTTGAAACTTGTAAATTGCATTTGAAAAATGGCTTAAAATATCAGTTTGATTTAGAAATAATTATGGAATAATTCTCATATATGATTTGCCTAATAATAATGCTTTCAGGATTAAAATAAGTTACATCCGCGTAATACAGTTAATTTTGTGATCTGTACGGTTGTTGGTTTTAAAAATATTTCAGGAAACCTATCAGTAAATTTACATGGATTTTTCAATGTGCAAGCAATCTCCGGTGTCATGTTAGACCATTTACTGTGTTTTGGATTTAGTCACTTCCAACATTTTTTTTTCACAAATGGTTTTATCAAGTTCATTGGACTTGAACTTAATTCTCAAGCTATGACAGTACTTTCAGCTTTTAATAATTGTTGGTATTGTGTATAGAGCACCAGAGAGAAACATGCAGTCATCGGTTGAAAACGTTCGTTGCGTAATTGACTAATATCTTTTAAATATTTTTGCAGTCTGAAATACGGCTTTTAAATCATGCCTTTATCCAGCCCGAACATCCGTAAATTGGTGAATCAAGGGTAATAAAAAAAATGCAAAACAATCAAACAGATCTTGTCTTTTATATAACAAGTTCGGTTTCTCCTCTATACTATGTTAATTTATCGAACAGAATCATGGTGCTTGTTCACATTTCCAATACATCATGTTGTCTTTAATATTTTAGGTTTTAAAATTCAAAAAGGACTCAAAACAATGGTATTTCCCCATTTAAAGTTGCCTGATCTGTGGAACGTCAAAATATCTTGCATTGTGCTGATAAGCTGAATAAGAATTACGCTTAATAATCAGGTTTTAATTTCATTAAGACTGAGTTGACTTGTGAAATTCGTATCTTTCAATTGACTTCTGATCACGTTTACTTTTACGTTCTAGTCAGGAAGTTATGTGCAATATGTACACCAGTTCAAGTTGTCATACCACATCATTATAGTGAGACAAAATTATCAAGAAAAATCCTAGTCGTGGTTGTATTAGGAAAGATTTGCTAGAGAAAAGGAAAAAAAGGTATTAGGAGATTTCGGAGCTCAGGTTCTAAGAGGAGATAAAGAGTGAGCTTACCTGAGTCACGTCACCCAAAGTCCCCTAACCATTGGTTACAATAATTGCGCGGACCCCTACCAAGAAGTTTACCCATAATAACATAGCTCATTACAATTATCAGTAACTTCATGGACTGGTGTCATATCTTAGTTGATCTCCCTTGCTTTATTTCAGCCTATTTCCTACACCAGACAACATCGTGTATCAAGTTAAAAAGTGGTTTGATGTATGTAACATTTGTCCCAACGATCTCAATTGATGAAGATTCATTACGTCATCAACCGTTCATTCCTCGACCTTACGTCTAACTTCAAAATTGCTTACTATGTGGTCCCAAAATACACTTATGATCGGGTACTAGGGGCTTGTGAATATTCACTGTACATCACCTATTCATCTATAATCTATCCATTCATTTAACAATTCCTAAATTTCCTTCACTATAAATCATAAAATCGCCCTCCATAACAATTATATTTTCACATAGTTGTCGAACTGTTAATTCATGGTATTAACGTATAAATTTCTGTAAGTGGGTCATAAGTTCGGATATACATTTGTTCACTATTACTTGGTCTATCAGATTCCACCGCTAACTCACACAAACTTCCTATTTTACAGCTTGGTCGAGAAACTTCTCATGGTTCCTGAATTAATCCAGTGGATTTAATTATTCATCGAGCATGGTGTACATCATGAGTAATTTAGCTCCGTCTATATATAAATTCACTTCTTTGAAGTAAAAAAATATATTAATATCGTTTGAGACTAAAAGTTATGTAATTTTGAACATTATAGTTATTCTCAATGCAAAACAAATTGTAACATCTACAATGCCTGAAAAGTAAGTTTGTCTCAGATTATGAAGCTAATCCTGTCTACTCTTCAGAATCTCAGATGACGTTTAAAATTATATTTTAGGAGCCTCTAAAAATTATAGATGAGAATATTTGACTTGTTTTTCAGAAACATCTGCTATTGTATTTGATTGACAAGAAAATGAATAGGACACCACTTTATGCTTGAAATCTTAAATAATTCCCTAAATTTGTATTTACAACTCGGATAAGTAAGCGTTTAACATTTCATGTACATACCGAACAAATAACGTATGTAGCCTTCAGATCGAAATATATTGCTCGTCTCCGGTTCTGTTTGGTGAGTTGTCTTGCCTACACCCTTCTCTTTGTCTAACACAACAGAGACCATTAAAGTGCGTTTTCAATCCTAAAAAACACATTCTTTGGACTAATGACGGATTTATACATGTGCCCAACATATGACTACTGAATTAAATTTTAGTAGTCAGATAAAAACTCACCATGAGTTCTGTCTGTGTCAATCCCGCCAAAAGTCGAATTTGCAATAAGTATTAGTACCAAACTACAAGACATGTTTCCTTCAGTAAATAACTCGGTTAATCTACTGACTAATCATTCTAATAAAACTATTTATGAATGTTATTCTATTTTATGATGACAGTTTTCAAAGATTTTTCAGCCCAAATTTAGTTTTGTCATGAACAGAAACCACTTTGTGAATCATTGAGATCCATCAACCACCGGACAACGAATTTGTCTCAGATAGCGACTCATTAAAAATTTTCGCATCTGCGCATGGGAAAAAATCCACAACATTCGGATTTTGCAGAGAGCACAATATTTTTGCACCTTTGAATTGGAATACAATGAACCACTTTTCCAACTGCATTCATTTTGCAAAATCAATCTTTGTCGTTTTGTTGCCATCGTTTTGTGATAAAAATTTCATTTGCCTTGATAAACGCTTTTCAGAAGTACTATTTGACATCCTGATACTCAAAACTAGTGATTGTTAACACTAAATGTTTTAAAGATAGTTTGTTGTGACCTCTCAGAAATCATGCTGTGAACTAGACTTTGTTATATTACTTTTTACTTGATTACTAATAGATTACACATTAGTGGTTGTTTCGAGCTAAATATTTAGTGACAGCTTTTCAAGTGATAAAAACAATCTGAATTCACGATGACTGGATTGACTATACTTAAGTAAGTTATTGATAATAAGTTACGAAAATACTGATTCCTACCGTCATTTTGTCCTGCATTAGGTAAATGTTGGATGGAGAATTAAGGCAGTTTATTCAGTGATGAAGTATTATAAAAATTTGTTCTGATAATATGCACTATTAATGGTCTCACTGAAATATGTTAAGATAGGAGGATATAATACAGGCATATTAGTATTGTAGAGCCTGTTCAAGACTGCAATCTAGATTATCGTGTCACAGTGACAGAGGTTAATATAATTCTATACAATTTTTCTCCTACACAGTAATATTCAAGTTTTAAATACTTAATAAAAACAAACGCTATTTGGTGTTTTTATTTTAGAAAATGTGTGCGTGAAATGGAAATAACTATATTTGAGTTTTGAACCAAATTTCACTCGAAGTCTGATAATCGGAGCATTGATTTGTAGATATCCTACTACATTGTATTTTTGTACATCGAATCTCACTCTCAAAATACTTGATAAATGCTTTGTGACTTTGAATGTTTTTTAGGCTCGCAATCTGACTCCATTATGAAAGAATCATGAACTTAAGTTCTCTGTCTCATTTCCTTTATTCTCTTTGGGCAATAATAAAAACATAAATACGAATTAAGTTGAAAGATTTCCTTTCAGATATTCTTTTATGCAGACGAATGGATTCTATGGATCTTTTGAAGTTAATCCTCCAACAATGTCATTGTTGGTCGGATTACGGGTGTCAGATCAGATGTTACCTAGTATCCCCAAGTGTTGTAGAATGGATTAGTTTCCATAGAACGATGGGTATTAATTTTATGTTTATACTCCGTCATATCACTCAGTTTGCGAATCGATCAACGGAGCTAATACGTTGTAGTCTTTAAGCGACGATTGGTATGATACCGTATTTAAATTAAAATTAATTGTTCACAATCGTGTTGAGGTTACTAGTCACCCACGTCTCATACAGGCTCTATGAAGCTGTTCAGGAATGAATATTTTTGGTATTTTTTGTTTAGGTAATTAATAGTTCATTTCAATCGAACGAACAAATTTGATTCAGATCATGAACCGATTGATGTTAGACCACCATTGAAAACCTGGAAGCAATGGTAGTCTAACATCAATCGGTTCACGATCCGAATCAAAAACTTAATAATCTCCACGAACTATACTGAAAATTTATCTGAGCCTGAAAAATAGAGTGTTATACGATTTGGTTCTCAACAATAACCGAATTTGATAAACCATTATTAATGTGAGTGATATAATGATTAACCTTAGCTCGAATATTTTTCTTATAGTTTTATTCTTCGTCCGTGATTATTGACTTTCAATATGTACTAGATCAGATGTAGAATCTTTTTACGCAGGTTCGTTAATTTCGCATTGTTATTTTTAATAGATATTTATGACATATGATCTTTTGCTGAAATTCAGATATTAAATAAGAAAGAAAGATTAGTTCAGCGAAGAGTTCTCTTTTCAGCGAATTCATTTTCAAAGCTGTACAATCGCAAATATATATACTTATTTTTACAGGGTGATAATAATACTGATAATAAACTTCTGTTATACATGGTGACAGTGAGGTTAAATAAACAAAGGTATTAGAAAAATTTTTTTTAATAAAACAGGGAAAGTTTAATAAAATGTTGAAACAGAGATGAAATGTAATCGGAATGATCGTGGAAATATCAATTATGCTATCGCTGGATGTGGAATCATTATTCACTAATGTCCCACTCACAGAGACCGTTAATTTTATCTGTAAGTACATAAACAATAATGAGATAAACATTGGGATACCTGAGGTTTATTTGAAGGAACTATTACTACGCTGCACTTGCAATTTACAGTTCACATTCAACGATGTAATTCATAGACAGAAGGATGGTATAGCAATGGGATCCCCACTTGGTCCATTACTGGCAGATTGTTTCATGGCCAGTTTAGAAAACAACCAACTCAAAAGAATTATAGAAAACCTCCACTTCTATGAAAAGGTATGTGGATGATATTTTTATCATTTGTGACAACAAATGTAACTTAAGTGATCTCCTAGAGATATTTAATAATTGTCACCCATCAATAAAATTCACACTTGAAGGTGAAAGCAAACAAAATATTCACTTCCTTGATGTAGATATGACAAGAAAACAAGATGGTACTTTAAAAAGAGCTATCTAAAGGAAACCCATGTGGAATGGCCAACTATCAAATTTCCAAAGTTGGGTTCCCATCAGCCGAAAAAGAAACTTGATAACTCTCGCCACAAGAATACGAAGAATCTGTAGCCACGAGGTCGTAGAGGAAGAATTGAGCCTTTTAAAAAAGATTCTTATCAAAAACGGATATCCTCCTACATTCATTGATAAGAACATGAAGCCGAAAATGCCAAAACCACAAACAATTACGGTAGAAAAGAAAATTTTATACATGAACATCGACTTCAAAAGTGACAGAGCCGCATATATCTTAAAGAGGAGAATTTCGGATTCTTTAAAAAGAACATTCTTCGCAGCAACATTGCGAATATTATTCTTCAGCCGATCACTGTTCACCAATAATCTGAAAGATAAATTATCGCATCTGACCAACTCAATGTGCATTTACCAATTTACCTGCTCTTGTGCTAGGTATATAGGTCGTTCGATGCGTACTTTATCTAAAAGAATTCAAGAAAATTGTCCGGCGTGGCTAAAAAGAGGAGGCAACGGCTCAATAAGAAGTTCTTTAATCGAACACCTTGTGAACACAGGTCACTCAATCAAAACAGACTCTGCGTTCAAAGTCATCTACAAGGTAAATAGAAGCCTTCTTAAGACAATTAGACCACATCTTCTTTGCATTGCCGAGGCAATAGCCATACATTTTGAAAAACCAGAATTATGTGTACAAAAGAGACTGGTACAACCTCTTCTTCTACCATGGTCTTAATGTATTGAAAACTTTTTCTCTTTCTTCATACTCTTTTTCCCTTACAACCACCTGCTTCACCTTCCATCTTCCCTTCAAATCTTCTACCTCCAACGGGTTTGTTTTTATTTTCACGATCATTCCGATTACATTTCATCTCTGTTTCAACATTTTATTAAACTTTCCTTGTTTTATTAAAAAATTTTTTTCTAATACCTTTGTTTATTTAACCTCACTGTCACCATGTATAACAGAAGTTTATTATCAGTATTATTATCACCCTGTAAAAATAAGTATATATATTTGCGATTGTACAGCTTTGAAAATGAATTCGCTGAAAAGAGAACTCTTCGCTGAACTAATCTTTCTTTCTTATTTAATGTCATAATGGGTGTATTCCGTTTATTAAGAAATTCAGATAACTGAAAATTCTTAGACTAACCTATTATTACTATATCGTGAAACTAAGGGATCTATGTTTTTGTCTGAAATCTAAGAACATATATTTCTGTTTTACGTCGCCTAATTCCCTATATGGATTGTAATATTTGAATTCTATTTACTCAGACAAAATAAAGCGTAAAATACTGAAATTGGCAACTTAGTCACAGAGTGATTTTCCATCTGGATCAAAGCTATTCTAATATATCTGATTTAAGGTGTTATTGACCGCTTTTTTAATATCTATTAACAAATATTGTATAATTCATTTGACTAGCTTAAGGTCCATTTTTAATATTTCAATGTAAATGATTTTAAATGAGTTTTGGCTCATGCTAGTTTTTGTCCGCATTGCTACACTTTAGAATTCATTTCTTATCAAAAGTTCATTCACTTCACTTACTGATCAAATACTTATTAACTATACAAGCTGAATTTTCCCGTAATATTATCCAGTAGGATATATACATATTTTTTTTAAAAAACATTTATGACTTCAAATATAATTTAATATAAGTTGGAAGATACATTCACATTTTCTTTAAATGTATGATTCACTGACCTTAGTTTGGATTCCATAAACATTCATATTATGTAAGTTAAGTACTTTCGAATTGTTTATCTGATGTTAAAATAACATCAAATCTTAAATTCTTTACTACATACTAACAAACTTCATATCCATTTGTTTAAATAGCCATCAACATTTAAAGGTTATATGCATCAAGTAGAAAAATAATATTCTATATGAAATAAACAATTTTTCTTTATTTAAGTAAAATGATTTCAACAAACTTTATGTTGAAATATATTTACTAACAAATTACTGACATTTGAACAAAATTCAGTAAAAACAAAGTTTTTGTTCAGCTTTCAAATAAACATATATGTACAGGGGTTGTGGAGATTATTAAGTTCTTGATTGAGATCATGAACCGATTGATGTTAGACCACCTTTGGAAACCTGGAAGCACTGAAAGGCCGTTTCGTTCTCATTGAGGGACTCCTCAGCAGTGCGCACCCACGATCCCGCTCGCAGGATTCGAACCCAGGGCCCTCGGTCTTGCGCGAACGCCTAACGTACTGGACCACTGAGCCGGTATCCAATGGTGATAGTATTCACTAAATCTATTGTTATTATTCGTATTACGTAACCTGGTATCACAATCTTCCTGTTACGTCATCTTGGTTATTCGTGTTTACATTTCCTCACGGAATTAGTACTTTAATAAAATTTTCATATATATACGTTTGTACAGCTTGATAATATATTCGTTGCAAAGAGATCCATTCACTGAAATTCCTGTTTTTGAATATGTGTGCTCATATGACACAAATATTTTATCACCTATAATAATTTTTTTAATTGGTTGTAAACTGTGCATCTTTGTGATCTGATTAGTTCATATTCATTCAGCATAAAGTACTTTAATTGAATGTGAGATTTTGCATTTTTACATTTTCGCATCCAAGATCCCGCACCCCGCGAGATTCAAACCCAGGATCTACCACTCTCGCGACAGGCTCTGCTCAGGAGTCCCATACTAGGACAAAACGATCGTCCAATGTTTCCAGGTTTTCTATGGTGGTCTAGCTTTAATTGACTCATGATTTCAATCAGTGAAATTTCTAAAATCTCCACAAAACCCCTTCTGATAATCATTTTTGACAAGCATTTGAAATATTAGTTGTATTAAGCTTAAATTAACAGGCTTATATCTGACAAAATAAATTTTTATGTAGATTATCTTGCTAAATACGAATAAGGTCAACTGTATCAATCGATATTTAGCTATACTATCATTTAATTTCACTGTAACAAATTTAACCCTACATTTGTCTAGCTGAACACAATGTAAAAAAAGCATTGAAAAAATTATTATTCAGTTTGACATGTACTATTGTTAGATAGTGCAATGTTCATTAGATGATATAGACATTTGATAAAACGTAAAAGAAGTATTACTTATACGTGAGCCATATTCATATTATTATTATTATTATTATTATTATTATTATTATTATTATTATTATTATTATTATTATTATTATTATTATTATTATTATTAATCTCAAATGATTATAAAGCTTAATCACTAAGACTTGATTCTAATTCATTATTGTTGAATCAGTTGATCCTTCCCATTGAAATAATGTTGTTCTACCAGTGAAGTGATCTTCGTACATAATTTCCAACTTATAGTACAATAAATCAACGTGAATGATAGCCTAAACTTATTCGTATTAATTTTCAGTAAACGCTTAAACGTAAAAGAATTTCTTGTAGGCAAGAAAGGAGTTATCAGATGAAACAGTTAAACGACTTGGCTGAGAAATATATTTTCAAAATGTTTGATGTCATTTTTTAACAAATTAAAACAAGAATTTAAATCAAATTAGGCATGACCCTAAATAGGGCCTTTAATCGGTTTCTTAACATTTCAGATTTTCCTAAACAATGGCATAACTATGATTCCGTAATTGCGCCAAACATGGGACATTGGAATCCATGTAATTGTGGTAGTAAGTCGCAAGCACATAACAAATGAAACACTGCACTACAGTGACAAAAAATCCAAGTGCTTTCATCAGCAGTTTCGCTGGGTGGCTGAGCAAGATTGCAGATATCACAGTCTGTTGTCGTAGGCATCTTCATCAATATCGTTGTCTCGGTCACTGAATTTTCCTGAGTTTATAGAAACAATTTCATCTTCATCATTACTTAACGTAGCATCCAAATCGACGTTTGTTAGATAGTTGGTACTTGTCGTCTGTTAGATCAACGACATTGTAACATCTATAGAAGTAGAGGCTTCCATCTGAAGCTCAGTTGCTGTAGATAAGGTCAATGACGTTGGGGGCATCCTTCTGTATCAGTAGCTAAATTTGAAATGAATTAGTTGAAATTGTATTAGAAATTTATGAGCTGTATAATGTGTCATATTCGGCGTATTACAGTGATTAAACTGTATTGATGAGTTTGGAAGATTTGCCAGCCAACCAGAAAGCAGTATTTAGTTACGGAACTCTTAATAATATATAGTAATAAAATAACGGCGTATGGACAGTTTTGACATCAGTCATGAGCCCCTACTGTTAATTTATTATAGCACACAAAAATATCTTAAGGTTACATATTAGAAGTTTGATTAGTGCTACGATTTAAAGTTAGGAGTTAGAGTTAAGAATAAGGGTTAAAGTTGAGCTTCGAGAGCGTTACGATTAAGAGCGTTGGAGCGAGGAGTGCTAAGGTTACGAGTTTTGATTTCTCAGTGTAGATAGAGTGGTACAGTAGATCTTGTTCGTAAAACCGCTGATTTCGGCTTGACTCACATAAACTTCTCTCAAATATAATTTTGATGACGAATGTGTTTTGTTGTAATTTAGCTTACTCGCTGTGTCACATTCTCTGTATGGCTGCATAAAAGACATCTATCAGTTTTAAGCATTTTAGGAACTAGACTTAAAAATTTTTTACATAGTTTTTATCAAGATATTTGCTATCCCTCACTGCGCTTCGAATTTCGAGCAGAAGTTCACGAAGAAGTGTCCCAAGGCTGACTGGTTCACTGAAAGTCATCCATATAATCAGTTTTGCTATAGTTACTAACCGATAAAACTGGACCAGGTTCTTATCATGCTACAAGCTGGTTAAAGTAAACAGTGTAGATGATTGTACTCCATTTCAGTATCTTGAACATTGTATATTCATTTAAAGATCAAAATTATTCGGTTGAGTTCCAAGTGAGGTTGCTGTTACCCAGTCTTGATGATTCTCAAATAAAAACTTCATTGCCATATAGTTTTCAGTGTTTCTTCAGTTGGTTTCGGTCTGTAATAAAAATAATCACTAATATCTGGTTATTTTTTATTAATTCTACTTCGTATTCGGCCGTGTTTCCTTATTTCTTTTGAATTGTCATTGACTACACACAATATATGGAGAAGTTAAGGTGTTTCATGATAATCATTTAGTCGTGTTAGTAACAATTCGTTACTTGATAAATAATTCATAAGTGCTTATTGCTTTCATTAGGTATTTTATTTCATTAGCAATAATTCAGTTAGATGGTTAGTTTTCCAATCTTTTGACATATATTTTTATATTTATGTTTGTCAAAACAACACTATTGTATCATTCACCATAAGAATGTTGACTAATGTAGAAAAAAATTAGACGTGATTGTAAGAATGTGTGCGGAGATCGATACGATAATTCAATAAACCTTTGAATAAAGTTTCATACCATTTTAGTCTGTAGTATTTAAGGTCTTAGACATTTATTTGTACTGATACATTAATCAGAAATAAAGATTTATTTTCATTAAATACGTTTAAAGACTTGAAGATGAAGTAATCGATTGAATAGGTTGCATTTTTGAGATAACTATGCATTGATCATTGATGAACAAAACTTGGCTCATTTCATATAAGTCTTTTCGAAGTAAGTCAGTCATAAGCAGAGTAGAACCTGTCATATTTGCATTCATAATGCGGTGTGTGCTACTGAAGTCGACAGATATATGTAGTATGTATCATCAGTCCAAAGTAAAATGTCTGGCGGCAGAAGGTTAAGAAGTTCAAAGAAAAGAGAACGAGAACAGAGAATGATTTCTGTGGAAATGAAGGAACAGTAAAATCTGAGACGATTGTTTGATATTTTGCAAATGAAGTACTTACTGTATGGATCTCAGATTTTACTAAGTGATTCTGTAATTTCGTCTTCAAACACATTTGTTTTTCTCCACTTGTGTTCTCGTTCATTACAGTGGTAGTAAGAAAGATTAAGTATAAACAATATGATTCGAGAAAAAAGAATAAATTCTTGGAGTGTAAAGTATAAGATAATTTTAAAACGTAATATTTACGGGTCAACAATAGGTGAATGCATCATTACTATGGCGACTGATTTTCACACAACATTCTCAACTACTGTGTACGGTAATTTTTTGAAGTACTTACTGGTCATTTAATTTGAAATCTTTTTAAAAATATCATTAAAAGAATACTATGTATGCTTTTCTTTATTCATCTTTAAAATATGCATTTTGGAAAGAGATTGATAAATCGAAGTGTTTAATATAACTAAGAAATATGTGTATTAGTTTCAGTCTAAAATAATTTTGCTCGAAAAATTAAGGTAAGCTAAAGGAATGTTGGATTGTCTTCTTTTTTTCAGATTGAACATTTAACCATCATCCTTCTATTTCGTTTATAATCAAACTGAAAACAGCTTAGATCTTCTTATCCCCATATTAGTATTAGACTAAAAAGGTTAGTATTCATTCGTATACATTGGTCTAATTTATTAGAACTGTCTTTGTATTTAACGAAGTTCTCCAGTTAGATCTTAAGATTGGTTATATATGAATTAAACAAAATCTTAGGTAAATCGAAATAAAAATATAGTCTACTGTTTCTCAGTGGTTCGCCAATTAATGTTGGTTAATGCTTTAACGCTGTTTGAATATTGTCGATTGATCAAATGAATAAAATAAGACTAGAAAATAATTTACACAACACACTAACTAAAACCAGTTCATAATATAGACAAAGAAATTCGGCGATCTGCAGAAAGCCCTTACTCTAATAATATTATAAATCACTTGCTCACTAGTGACTAACCTCAGGAGTTAATTTCATCAGTTGTGGTGAGAATCAGTAACCAGTGTAGTTAAATCGTGTCGTGTGTGAGGTAACGATTGTAATAGGAGATAGTTGTCCAATACAGTGAAATCATTGAAGTTGGAAATATGAACTACTGGATGCTAACTAACTAGTCTAAAAACTAAGTCCTCGCTATGAAACATGAATGTCATGGATTCGATCTCCAATGCGGTCATTGGCAGACGAATCTGAAGAGTCCCAACCTAGGATGAAACGACTGTCCAATGCCTCGTCCTTATTAAATGATTGTCTAGCTAAGGTCAGTTCGTATTGTACACCATAAAGTTCGGCTATCTACACAAACCTCTTACATTAAAATTGAAACTAGCTAGGTGATTATTAAGCACTAGTGACCACCAAATAATTAGTTCGTTTCAATTTCGAACGCCTCATCGGTGGGCATCCACGATGTCATATGGGGCCAAACCTAACGCTTTCAAGTCTCATAACTAGAGAACAGTTAAACTACAAATTTGGAGTTCATGTTTCTAACATTAGCCTGTTCACTTTACCCATTAATTTGCGTCGAAAAAAACGTGGTTTTATTTTTGACAAGTTTTTCTAATGCTTTCCTATTACTTAATATGATATTTAGCCTAATAGGAATTGATATTTATGTACTTGAATGATAGTTGGAAGTAATTTGATTCTAACCAATTTTTTTTAAAAACATACATGTTAATTTTATATAAGTATGCAATCTAACTGAGCCGTTTTACACTAACTGTTGTCATGATTCGATTAGACAGTTTCACGACTTAATAGCTGAATTCACGAGTCAATTAAAGCTAGTCCACCATCGGGAACCTGGGACGGCCGTTTCGTCTTAGTATGGGACTTCTCGGCAGTGTGCACCCACGATCCCGCCTCGCGAGACTCAGACCCAGGACCTATGGGTCTCATGCGCGGACGCCAGAACTCTAAACCACTGAGCTGGCATCCAACGGTACTAGTGTCAATCTCAACTTCACAACTATTATGTGTTCAGGTCAAACCAAACAGTCAAATAAAAAAATATAATTTATATTCAATGAAATGAACAAATTTATAAATTATTTTGAATGCAACTAATAATAGAACAGGGAAATCTTTGACTAACCAGTTATTTTCAGCATAGAATATCAGGCTAAATCTGACCGGCATGTCATATTTGACTGTTTGCTTTATTGAATAATTTCTTCTTAAAAAAAATTTTATATCTCCCAATACTAATCGAGTTATCTGGATAATGTTGATTAGTCACGGCTGACTTTTTCAGTAATTCTTATATTTGTCTAGATAAAAAGTAAAATATGTATATAAGATACCTTTGTATGTATCGTATGCCAAACGATTGGCCGTTTTCATTCAATTCTTACCAAGTGCACAGAAAATTTTTGTATGAACGTAAATCTTATTGGTTAATACATTGTGCAAAAAATCAATAATTTTTCCCTGTAATAGGCTAGAACCCAAATACTGTATGAAAAAAAGAGATTACTTCTACTTCAGGTAGATTTTTAAAAGGAAGTTGTTCTATCCAAACAAAACCCTATCATTATAACTTTCTAGCAGTACATATATATACATATATATATGAGCAAAAAAACTCATCGTCATCATCAAAATACGGCGAGACCTACCTTTCAAAAATTATTAACTAAAGGTAAATCTCATAAATCCAATTCAAATATAAATACAATTCAACATTCAAATAATTCTGAAGTAAATCAAAAATATTCCGAACAGAAAAGAGTTCAGGTCATCTCTCAAAGATTTCATTATATCATGAATAAAAGGTTTCTATTATCTTGTTCATTAATATCATTCCTTTATTTATGTATTGTATTAATAAAATCTACAAAGTTTGAAGATAAATTCAATTATAATGAAAATGGTAACAATGAAACATTACCAAATTCTTTATATGTAACATTGAATGCTAACAAAGAGATTCATAATCAAGATTTCAATCATGAATTAAATGATGAATATGGTTTACGTCAGAAAATATCTTTATTGAATAATCCAAATTATTTAATGCCAACATTATGTATTGGTGTATTAGTTCGTAACAAAGCTCATACATTACCATATTTTTTAAATGGTATAGAAAATCAACAATATCCAACTAAACGTATTACATTAATCTTTTATGTTGACAATACAATTGATTCAAGTGAGATCATATTAAATGAATGGATTCAATGTAACAAAGATAAATATCATAATATAATTTTTGAAGGGAAAGATCATAATATAACTAAGTTAGAGTATGAAAATTTGAGTAAAATGTGGACTCAAGATCATTATTTACATGTTATAAATTTACGTCAGAAATTATTAGATGAAGCACGTAATATCTGGGCTGATTTTTATTTATCTATTGACGCTGATGTCATTCTTATGAATCCATTGACTATTGAACATTTAATAAATGTTATGCTTGATTCAACAGTATCTACATCTAAATCTAATTTAGATCATAAAACTAATGAAAATATAATTATTTTGGCACCATTGATGAATTGTACCTCATCTGAACATTATTCCAACTTTTGGGGTGCTATGTCTGAAGAAGGTTACTACCTACGTTCAGAGCATTATTTTGATATACAAAAACGTCGTATACAAGGTGTATATCCTGTGGCAATGGTACACTCGATATTTTTAATTAATTTACAGTTTTATCAATCTGAACAAATTGGTTATTCTCCTGCACCAATAAATTATACAGGACCAATTGACGATATTATAATATTTTCTAGATCAGTACAACGTGCAGAAATTGATTTTTATTTAGATAATACACAATTTTATGGATATATTCCATCACCGGTTGAAGAACAAGATCTTGGATTATATTCAAAAGATTTAAATAATGCATGGCTTTTGCGTGAACAAGATCTATTTGTTCATTTACGTTTACAAGCAATTATTGATCAAGAGGATAAACAAAGAGTTATACCTTCAGAATGTTTATTAAATATTGCTGAAAATCAATTACCTAAGTCAAATAAATTAAATTTTGATGAGATTTACTTTATTAATTTATTGAGACGACCTGATCGTCGACAAAAAATGGAATATATGCTTCATCAATTAGGTATAAATGCTAAACATTATGCAGCTATTGATGGAAAAGATTTAACTATGAAATATTTTGATGAATTAGGAATTAAACAACTTCCGGGTTATACAGATCCTTACCATAATCGGTCGTTGAAATTTGGAGAAATTGGTTGCTTTTTAAGTCATTATAATATATGGATTGTATGTTGAATTTTGTAAACTTTTGTAATTAATTTAGTTAATAATTTAAAATAACCACTTCATGTGATTTTACATGATAAGTATATTTATAGTACCAGACTAGGGAATACCATATAAATTTATATACTTTAAACTATAGCTTTAGTGATTAAATCGTTTCATTTATTTATTTAAACACATGAATATTGGTACAAGAGGGCATCTCACTTCGTCATTTGATTTGTGTGAACGCTGGAATACTACCCGGATGCCCAAACAGAAGCAGGTGGTTTTCTTAGGGGGGCACTCCCGGATCTATTGACCTAAAGGTCTAATCCACAAGTCACTGGGGCAACGTAGGGAGATGGTAGCCGGTGATCAACAATAAGTTCATACGCAACTTGTTTCCTTAGGATCCTGGAGTCCATGTACACCACTAGCTGGGAATCAGGGTTTTCTAACTCCTCTAGGTGGGTCCCCGTGTCCATCAACCCGGTCAAAGCACCGGACATGCGCATTTCGTCCTCTCATTTTCGCAAAGAACACCCTCGCCGTGAGAAGGCAATGAATAGGACTAACCTGACAGTGGTTGTATACACGTGACTATATGAGAGCATTTCGATAGGGAGAGCTGACTCTCCCCACCTTTGGCCATACCATAGCATTCATGGGCTATTTAAACGTAGAAATCGTAAACATTTCTTATTCAAAATTATTTGTAAAAATCTCATAGAGGCTGAGAAATGTTCAATATACATATTGTCGATAAGTGTTATAGCTAAATTTCACAAATTGATGTATTTGTGCATTTTCTCATTCTGATCAGCCTGATTTCTAAACCATTACTAACTTTGAAGCTTCTTCTAGAAGCTAACATAAATCAAAAGTCATTAGTTGATTTAATAAGTAACTTTTGGTTTATTTATCTCAACAACCTTTGATTTTTCGGTCAGCCTAAAGAATTTCATTTTTTTTCAAGTGTGTAGTTCCTGATGTGGTGGGAGTTTTGAAGTGGATTAGCAAATCGATAAACCATATTATCGGAACTGAAACAAACTAATGATTATTGTCTCAACTTTAAATGTACTGAAATTATAAACTTGGGTTATCTCGGTTCAATTTTCTTTAAAATAAAATGTTAATTTCCTAGTACAGAACATATGAAACAGCATATCTTTGATGGGTAATGTTTTGTGAAGCATTTATATTTCACTTACTTACTTATACAAATTTATATATATCACTTAATATGTCGTAATTCCGATGTACATGTACCATTTCGTGTTAAAGAATAGATAAGCAGAGGAAAATGTTCAGTGGTCGATAACATATGATGCAAGGTAACAGAGTTTATTAATATGGTCATCTGAAAATAAACTAAACCGAAGTAAATTTCACATATACATTGTTAATATTTATGCTATTTAGTTGTGTAAGACCTTAGATTTATTTACCAATAAATTATGAATATACTCACTAGTGACTGGCTTCAAAATGGATTTCCTGGACTTCTGGTGAGAACCAGTGACCTATGGAGTTCAATCGCATCGGGTGTGAGGTAGTTACCCACCAAAATGTATATTATACTATCATTTGTTATAGTTTGATTAAGAATCATTCTGGTCAATATTATCAATGCTCGTTTCACATGGAAGTGAACTGACAACCTAATTATTCAGCCATGTACTTAATAATATCACTAACAGAATCTGTCCGAACTAATCAAGTTTCTTGATTATTTCAAAACATGAAATTTCTTAAATTTATTCGTAAACTATTCGTATTTTTAAGGTTCAGTCAATTTATATTTGAATTGTTTTTTTAAAATTTATTTCTAGGAAATGATCAACAATGGTTATAATCGTATATTAGTTCTTGAAGATGATCTACGTTTTGCTCCTGCTTTTGTTCGTAATTTAAATAAAGTTATTAAAGAAGCAGATGAAAATGTTGCTAATTGGGATCTACTCTATATTGGTCGTAAAAGAATGTCAAAATCAGAGAAACGTGTACCGAATACAACTAGTTTAACTTATCCTGATTATACTTATTGGACACTTGGTTATATTTTAAATAGAAATGGTGCAGAAAAATTATTAAAACAAAAACCATTACAAAAATTAATTGCTATCGATGAATATCTTCCAGTTATGTTTAATAAACATCCTAGAAAAGATTGGTTAGTTCAATTTGAACCACGAAATTTAATTGCTTTATCTGCTGAACCATTATTAGTTGAACCACAAAGGTATACAGGTGAAAAACTTTATGTATCTGATACAGAAGACTCTGAAATTTTCCATAGTAATTAAATAATATTTAATGATTCTTATTAAAGTATAGAATAATGAAATGATATTGTATATTTTCCTTAGAATTTGTACATTCCTTAGTAGGATTTATTTCATTTTTGTTTTAAAAAAATAATAAACATTGTCCATTGAAAAAGACAATTTATGTTACAGATGGATATAAAAAAAGGAAAAATATTTGAGCGAACAATTGTTTTCATTAACTTCCTCATCAGGCTCTACAGTTATAAGTCCATAATTATAATATTTTACAAAGCCGAAGCCATCTGGATCAACTCCAGAAAACCAAATTTATGTATCCAGAAAAAAATATATCCAACCTCTTTGTTTACCTTGGCCTATGACTGGATCACCGAATACCTAGACTGAATATTATAAACCTCTTACCCCCTTCCTTTGTTTTTATTTATTTAATTTTTTCCTCATTATTATTATTTTTTTATTATCTCTATATTAATCCTCATATCCATCATTCCCAATTAGTTTATCGTAATTACCTTGGTAACACCCTCTTTATTACATATGATATTTACACAACAATCTTATTATTGAGTGACCTTTCCAATTTGCAAATAATACAATTTTGACGTATATATATATCGTAACACATGCAAACGTGCACCATTTTTAACACATTGTCAAATTCATTGATACATGCCTTAATTTTAGCCTTTGTAAAATATTATAATTATAGACTTATAACTGTAGAGCCTAATGATGAAGTTGTTGAAAACAATTGTTCGCTCAAATATTCTTCATTTTTGAATATTCTATGGGGATTTTTAAACAGATGGATATAAGTTTAAAAATAATTGCATCTTGCTCAAAGTTGTTCTAATATTTCAGTAAAATTCATGGTGTCAAGAAGAGAATATTAGCTTTTTTTATTTGGCTGGTAATTTTACAGGGGATTTTAAAAAGGGAATTCCTTTATTGTAAAATATACTTCTATTATTTATTTATTTATTTGAACACATAAATATTGGTACAAGAGAGCGCCAATATATATGCGCCACACAAATTATAGGCAGTTCGTCATATTTGTGTGGGGGCTGTGATACTGCCGGGTGCCCAGACCGAAGCAGGTGGTTATCTTAGGTGGCCTCATTTTCGTAAGCAACACCCCCGCCACGACAAGGCAATGAGTAGGACTTCCCTGGCAGAGACTATACTATACTATACACTATACTTTTTAAGAAAGTGAAAACAAAGAATTGAGATGAATGACGTGAATTCATTTTATTTCGATAGGTTCGTGTCAGCTACTGACAGATTTTAACAGTGAAACTAATTAAATATGGTTATTCATCATATTTGTGGAGTGATAATTTGAATAATTGTAATGAGATTGAAGAAATATTTTTTAAGTAGCTGAACTATTTTATTTAGCAGTATAAGTTTGTGAAAATTGTTGAACTGAACAATGTTAGATCACCATTGGAAACCTTGAAATACTAGGCGACCGTTTCTTCCTAGTATGGGATTCCTCAACAGTGATCATCCACAATCTCGCGTGAGGGTCTCGAACTCAGTACCTACGATCTCGCGCCCGACCACTGAGTCGGCATCCAATAATGTTTTTGTTTAACTTCAACCAATCTAAGATATTGCACAACCGTCTATCATTGTCTTCAGTGAATAACTGCCTCACACCAGGACCGTTTGAATTCGATTGGTCATGGGTTCTCACTGGAACTCGGAGAATCTCATCATCATGAGCCAGTAATTCTTGCGGCAGTGAGCGCATGATAATTACCACTATGGAGTTTGTTTTATTTAGCCTGAGAATATTGCTGAATTTTGACTAACGGTAGAACAAAAGATGAGCATTTCTTCTTATTTAGGACCAACCAGTTGGATGGACCAAAATCAAAGTTTTTACGTTCGTACCGAGCATCAGACTCAATATCTTTCGCTTTCAACACAGAAAGCGTTATCCACTGTATTATTGAAGACAAATAGTGCATAAATTGTTCAACTAGTTTCAAAATAATTTTAAAAAGTTTATAATTTTTGATGTTCAAAAATTTATTTTATCGCTCTCTTTTGAGATATGTACATCCTGAAGAAATAACTACAATCTAAATGTTTTCATTGAAAAGAAAGTTTATTTAGTGAATGTTAACGTTGATCTGATATGAATTATCTACTCACAAACTATATTTGTCCTATTAAGTAATCAAAAACAATGTCAGTATCATTCAAAGCTATTCCAATGGTCAAATAAGATCACAGGATAGACAGACATCATCCTCCATTGCGAAGCATTTGATTGAGACGGATCATAAGGTTGACATCAAATCAGCATTTGTAGTGTTATACAAAAGCTCTCAAAGACGTATACTAAGGTTTATTGAAGCCTTGGCTATATGGAAATTGAATCTCTCTTTATGTGTTCAAAAACAATAGTGATTTATTATCCAGAGTGGTAATCACATTTGTTTTTGTGTATTCTATTATTTTTCATTTCTTATGACCTAACCTTAACCTATCTAGTTGAGCTTTTAATTCTCATATATAAATGTGCTTAACAAGTATATATGTGTTTCAGATTGCTCGAAATGTATTGCGCAAATATATCATATAATTCTGATAAACTTCGTCTTCTCATTGCATTATCGCTATTTTAATGAAATAATAAACATATCGAAAATTTCACAGTTAACATGATAAATCAATATGCACGATTTCAATATGTCTATCTCTATTCATTGATCTATTCATGATTATACAGATAATGAATAATTGACGAAATTTATTATCAAACCAATCAATTAAGCGTTCGCGCGAGACTGAGGACCCTGGGTTCGAATCCCGCGAGTGGGACCGTGAATGCGCACTGATGAGGAGTCTCACGATAGAACGAAACGGCCGTCCAGTGCTTCCAGGTTTTCAATGGTGGTCTAACATCAATCGGTTCATGATCTCAATCAATCAATTAGAATTGAATATTGTCAATTAGTTAACATGAACTCTAATTATCATATGATATCATTTGCTTTGATTATCATAGTTATGAGTTCGCGCGAAAAATGTTTTAAATCCTTATTAGTTTAAAAGAATAATCATGTTTCAAATAAATTTCTTTAAATTTAATAAGGGAAAAATGTCATTTGTTTAACTGTTTTGTAAAACAATCCAAACTTTGAAGAAACTTCCATTTTATAACAAAAGTATTTGAAGAAAGCAACTATTTATGTTCAATTTTTTGAATTTCCATTCTTTGAGCAAGATATATAGTTTTCATTGTTTTTCTATGAAGCATCATCAGCATGAGCTCTTGAATGAAATGAGCTATTAGAATTTTTGACAAGTGATAAACACCTTGATAAGAGTTCTAATAATTCACTTCGTTCTGAGGTTCATGGGGATGATGTTGCACAGAAAGATAATAAAGGTTGCACGATTAAAAGTATGCGGCTTATAGAATTTTGAGACAACTTTCTGGTAAACTTAAAGTACACTAACGAATTAACCACAACCGGTGAAACCCTATCAATATCATAGCCTAAATATCTAACGAAAATGTTGAATATCAGCTGTTTCATATGTAATTTTAATGAATAAAACATCATTTAGTATTTAAAAGGCTATGGACTGCTGAAAGATCACCCATTTGTGAATGGAGGACTGAAACGATTGTGAATAGGTGGGATGTTTATCTACATTGTTTTTTTGGTTAGGATCGAGGATATGACTCAAGTTGGGATTAAAACAGTGTAAGAGTTTAGAATTAAGATTCAGGCTGGGAGTTAGGCTTAGGATTACGGATAGAAACGAATTGTTTGGTTAGGGGTTGGGATTAGAATTAAGATTAAGCTTTAGGGTATGGATGATGTATCTAAACAAACCTTAATTCCGAAATCTAAGTTTTGATGCTCACTTCTGACTTTAACGCTTAGAAACCTATGATCAAGTTAGAATTGTTCATCAATAATTAGTCAAGATTCTCTTAATGAATTCTCTCATATTTCGACATAAATTAACCATGCACTTTCGCTATGTTCTGATTAGCTAAAAAGGGGCCTACTTTAGGTGTACCGTTATGCTCTGACTCGTTTAGAAACATTACTAATTTTCATTAGTGGTAATATCTTCTTGGTTTTAATGCTAGCTATAAAAGTTACAAAACTTCATCAAAATTCTTTTTTTTTAATTCCAAGGTATTTTTAGAACTAAAATCTCCACTTCTTTCTTATTTCTTTGAATCAACACATTTTCAGAGTTTTACTACTTATTAAATAAACACATGGAATCACATAAAATTAGATCAGAGTTATGTATTGAGATGCTCAACTAGTTAGCAGTGATTGATCAAGGAGCGAAGACAGTAATAACTCGTACATCATATATTTCTGTTGCATATTATACTTTTGGCCTCTGTACTTTGTGATTAAACATCTGTTTTGTTCATTGACTGAGATTATTCAGTGTGAGTGTTTCCGGTGATTAAATCAACGCTAGTCAGTCAGTACAACGTAGAACTTCGTACGTACGTACATCACTTCGAGTTACCACACCACATTAGCACAGAGATGCAGTTGTCAATTCAAATCCCGTAGTGGTAGAGGTAGTAAGAATATACGCAGTAATCGGAAACATTAGGGTTTGAAGATGTTATTCAAGGAGTATAATCCAGTGAAATAAATTTGGAAAGAGAAACTAAAGAGACAAGGAGGATTCAGGAGATTAGAATTTGGGAGAGCACAAAGAGTGGATGCACCTGCGCCATTGCAAACGATTTTGAGCCATGTCATTCAGGGTCTCTAACCATCGGTTGCTATCATCTCCCGGTCCCCAACCAGGTAGTCTACACCTACCAACATGGTTCAGTCTACTTGTCAGTGACTTCATGGACGCCGACATTATAACATATACATAAAATAATAATGTAGTAAGTTTCTCTACTATATCACTACATTTCCATTTGTTCTATGTTCACTAATACAAAGGTCAATTAATCTGTCACTTCTATTCATATACTCATTACTTAGCTATAATCAATATATTTTTCTCAATACTTAGTCTGTAGGTCTAAATATTTATGAACTTCCAGAAAAAAAATTTCCATCCAGTATGGAATCGGAAAGTCACATTAAGTACCATTAATTAACATTATCAATGTTAGTTACATTTAGTTCTTTATACTCTACATACATACATATTTGTTAATGAATACTAACATAAATGTATGATCTCGGCATTGATTTACTCCATTAAGTTTAATTATAATTATGAATTCATAGAATTAACATATGAATTTGATAGAGAAGATTTATTAAATAATTCATTTGTTTACAATAATTTTAATGATATTTACTTATTTCTCTTTGTAACCAAAAACATTCATTATTTCTTTTCCATTTGAATGTACCATCTTCATAAATCTCCTATTTAATTAACAACGAAAAGATAGAAATAATTCTATAGTTATTTTATAGAATTTAGTTTACCTTTTTCCAAATTGGTAATTGTGATTTAATTGATTCAATTAAATATTTCACAGCATCAAGACTATCTTTACGATGTGGTGAACTGACAGCTATTGCTACACTGATTTCTCCTACAGGAACAATTCTAAATAAAGTGAATATGACAATAGTACAACAGTATAGTTAAGATGTATAATGCTTATAATCAGAGTTAGAAAACTCTTATTTAATCAGAGAAATGAATGTTAACCTCTACTGTATTGTAGTGAATGAAGACTTAATGGGGAGAACCAATTTGTTATTCAGTGTAAAATTACAGAGTGCTTTCATTAAACATGAAGACCGTACATTAAATACATCATTTGCATATCTTACATCAGTTGTCCTTTACGTGCTTCCCGCCATTGTCAATTCTGTTTTTATTACAATTACTATTCGTTTTTCTTTCCGTCCACTTCAGTTGAATATTCTTAATCTTCCATTAGCATTCATTCCATTTTGATTGATATTACATACTACTTATATCTGTTAACATAAGTAGCATACACTACAGTATGACATGGTCAGTTTTATTCCAGATATTCACGTCAAAACCATTTATTCACCCACAGTGTGTAAAACAGAAACTAGAACTCTATTAATAGCCATTTCATAAATTCTGGCTAGCAGTCGAAATCAGAATTGGTGTTTCGTCCTATTTAGGGATTTGTTACCTTGATGCACCTGCACCCTAGTGTTGATATTCAATTCAGAACTATAACTTAGTACTTTTCACTTCAAACTGGTCAAAACTGAGTCAAAAATATTGAAGACGAAATAACTTTAACTAATACTAAAAATGATATCAATATAATATATTTTGAATACGTTTGTGGCTACCTCAATTTACTAGCTCAACGGATAATGCATTGAGAGTTTAATGCGAAAGGGATTGGATTTGGGTCTTAGTGTAAACACCAATGTAAGTAAATTTATGTATGATGTAAAAGGACTAACCTGTTACTGAAAATGATTATACTAGTTATAATTCATTGATATTTTATTGAACAGAAAATATATGTTGCTTTCTCATATTGATTAACTGCTTTATAGAGATAAATGACCAAAAAATATGATATGTGTAAAAGATGCTGTACAAGGTCTAATATTATTCTTTCATGTCTGATTCTTTAAACAAACAACTATGTATTGAGTATATTTTCTTTAAATGAGGTCATTTATACTACTAAATAGTTTAACTGAAATTTCATTTTTACACAAGTTTCAAAATGTTAATTATCAACTTAAAGAAATAACGAATATCATAGTAAGATAACATGAATTCATTTATAAATCAATAATATATATTCGTAATATCTCAATGAGTAGAAAAATTAGATTTTCTGAAGAAGTGGCTTACACTAAGTCACGAAACGTCAGAAAATCTAATTTTTCTACTCATTGAGAATTCATTTATTTCGTAGATTCACCTCAACTTTTTATAACTTAAAACCATAATATCAATGAATAAAACAAATGTACATATCTTTCAACAGAATTGTCTAGAACAGATTGAGTTCAAATGTGGAGATAGAATAATATTAAGTAACTATAATACCAAAAAAAAAATTATTTAAATGTTCACTCATTTATAGGTTAAATGTATAAATATTCTAGGAGAGTATGGAAATTTTAAAAAATGTATTTACTTCTCGAAACAGAAGATAAATTATGTAATAGAGACTAGTTGCATCAAGCTCAGAAGTAAGGATTAAAATACTAGAATTTTGATTACAGTTTATTGTTTAAAGTTGTAAGCAGCTGAAGAGAATCCACGAAATGAATGAATTCATGTTATTCTGCTAGGATATTTGCTATTTCTTTATTCAAACTTATAAACGGGAAAAGTTGTATGAAATTTGCTAATTATCGGTTAATTGTTATATCCCGATAAGAATTATGAATGGTAATTTTTGCGATCCATTTATGGACCAATACTATGAGTATATTTTTATCGTATAATTGTTATGTAACTAAACTGTTCATATTCATGTCCCTATTGTTATAAACTTTAATTTAACTCATAGACTATTACTATACGATTTACTATTCTTGAGTTATGGCCTGTCTCTTAATTACTATCTCCCTCACTCACAGCTACATCTGGCTAACTCTTGTACAAATGTTGTTTCATATTTTATTGGTACGTTTTGGTCCGTTTGATTGGTGTATAAACCCCGTATGTTTGAAATAAATGATTCACATTGCAGAGGCTGAGATTGGCGTTCTGGACTTAACTGGCAGGGCTAGGCGGAAAGCGAGACCAATCAGCACTCTAGGCTGCTCGCACGTGTTCTACGCGTCCTTGATCCGATCGATAATTCGCTGCTCTCTGATTGGAGGTATCGTTGCATTATACAATAAACAGGGCACACAGGTTCACAAGTTATAACATTAATATCAAATCATGGTCGCTATAGAAAACATAACAGAAAACAAGTTATTTCCTTCATGTACTACATTTTCGCAATGTTTTTTATAGCATTTGATAGCATTAGGCATTATCATATAGATACAATATTGGAGCATCTCTTACAACCACTTACTTTCAAGTCAATCATTTAATGCTCTACCATAGTAAAGTTAAGAGTTTGTCATTTGGATATTTCTAATCACAAAACCCCGATATTAAAAGCATGATCAAAATAACGAAAGTCTATTTTGTAGTTACTTTGTAGCAAATAAGATACATGATATGTACACCTTTGTCCTACTTTTGATTAACAAAAGAAACATCTAATCCGTTTCTAATCAAAGTTTGACTTTCTCTTTTTATCAATGAAAATAGTATTCATAACTTTTTAAGACTATTTAATGTTTAGTCCATTCTCATTAAAGCATAATACACAAAGAAAGAAAGAAACAAACAAACAAAAAAGAAATCAAATCACTTCTTACCCATATCTATGAAGTACAATTATATGTACTAATGATGGCCATAATTGATAAGAATTTTTAATAATTTTTTCCATTTCTAAATAAGTCATTTTCAAATAACATTCATATTTCAATGCTTGTACAATTCTTTCTTGATCATATTTTCTAGTAATCCCTTTGAATTTTGTCAAATGATAATGTTTATCACTTACCGAAAAATGTAGAAACAGCTCCAATTGAAGAATCATTGATTAAATCAAATACATTGGAATATTCAATTGGTTCAATAGATATTTTGATAAAGTATTGAGAATTCTTTACATAAACAATAGATAGTACTTACCATGATATGGTTTTTTTTTCTAACCTCCACTAATCGGTGGTAAAATAGCAAGTTCTTCAATCTCTTCAATGGATAGTTGATTTACGCTTGTATTAATATCTGTATACTCCCAATCTATTGCAACGGTTAACGAATCTTTAAGAGGTTCCAATCTGATTAATGAATATCATTTGTTTTGAATTACTTGACTAATTGTTCAATAATGATATCTTTCAATGTTTTGTTAGTACACGATACAGGAAATTGTATTGTAATTTCTTTGCAGCCAACTAATTCACTAGCTTCTCCGAATAATAGAACTTTCTTATTGCATACAGTCATTCAGTTCGCACTCACATACGCTTACAATAATACAAAGTACACAATAAATCAACCATATATTTCATTTTACACAATAACTTGTTCTAAAATCAATTTCAACTATGTTTTTATTGGTAGGGTGTTAGTTGTCAAATATGTAAATAAATTAATTTGACCAATACCGTTCAAGATTATCTGTATGGTTATCAATGTAATAATTAGTCTGAAGTGAAATAATTCAGAATAGATTAGAAAGGTTATTAGGATTGTAGTTTCTTAAAAACATATTCAAAGTATAAGCAAAGATGAATGGTGGCTAGCAGTGGAATCCAGAATGCTAGTTCCACTCTATATGGGACTCGCCAGCTAGATATAACTGTATTTCAGAGTTGATATTCACTCTGAGACTCGAACCCAGTATCGCTCGCTTCAAACGCCATCGCGTTTGTAAATTAATTTTAACCAAAGAACGAAATAATCAGGTTTCAGATAGCGAACCCTGAAGTTCAGCTAGAAATATATTCACCCATTTGCCTAAATAGTCTCGCATCATAGTTTATGTCAGTTTGTGATGAAAACTATAACTGTAGCTAATATTAGCTGCTAACTGTAGCCCCTAGTTATTATTCACTACAATAATCCATACCCCTATTTTGAGCTGGATAATTGGCTGTAGTTTCTCAAGGTTACTTCTATATTGTTCTAAGGTTCCTTATAAGTATAGTTTCAGCCCTCAATGCTATAGATAATTCAATATTATCGTGATTGGAATAGAAAATGATGCTGTAGATAGAGTCTGTTAAAACATTTAGTCAGAAAATAAAATATGAAATGATTATTTCATGTAAATTTTCATCTGTCGAAGATTTTTGAGCACTTACTAGGGATCGTGTACTCATTTTAGAAGTATGAACTGTTACACTGTGGAATTTAGAGTATATGACCTTCAAGGTCAGTGACATATGGTGAAAATCTGTTTCATAATCAGCATTTTCTAGAACTAATTCGTAACTGTAAGAAAGTGATGAGTTATCAGATAAAGTAATGATTAATATTATGATTTATATTAGAGATACAATTAGTGAGAAAGTATCATCATAAAACCATCGAATGAGAAATAATGAACTTGTAATATCTTCATTGAATGCAATCTTGGATGTATTCTTAGGGTCTTAGAAATTTTACATATTTGAGTTTTTGTTTGCATGTTTACTGATTAGTTGAGAATTTTCAACACAGTTCTTCCAAAGTTTATTACTTGTCATGTAGCTTCAAGTTTTGTTTGACTGCATGGCTTTATCTGAAATAAATTTTTCACTAAACGTTCGAGTTTGTCTTTCTGATTTTACTTCGTCATGTATACTTGGTCCAGCAATGTAACTGGTTAGAGAAAACGTACAGAATTAGTTAAGAATCTTTAACATTAGGAATGAAATTAAGTTTCTAGAAGCTGCACACTAAAAGTTAGTACATAAAGCTTGTGGATAAAAGAATTAAACTAAGTGATAACATTCTAAGATGGAAGAGATTTTCTGATGTGTACTCTATGTAATACTCCACTGTTTCAAAGAAATTTCTACTGAAATATAAAATGATAAGTCTCTTAATGTAGTTTAATTTTCACTTGTGGTCTAATTATCGATCTGTTTTCAAAGTTGGATAAACGTTGGTATTAACGTACTTCTGTGGTTAGGGTAGACTTATCGTCAAATATTGTTTTGAGAAATGTTAACTCATGAGAACAGGGTTTTGAATGAGGTGTTCGCTGTTCATACACCCAGTAGATAAAGTTGTATACCACAATCACAGATGAAAGTTGAGCTGATATTGAATTTAATAAACGGGTAGATGCTATAGCTAAGAGCTGACGTGTTGCTTCTGTTGATGAAGCTGCTCAATCTTATATTTTATTGGTCACTTTCTACCTATATACCTAGTGATTTGTCGGGAACATGACTGTGTTCTTATGGCTTTGTCAGAACTTGTTTCGTATAACAGTTACCTACAATTTGCGGTATGCTATTCTGTACATCTCCAAATCTTATCAATAATTACTCGCTTTTCGGAAGGTGTAGCTATTTACAACTAAAGCACGGCGCTAGGGTTATTTTTAACGTATTCTAGTCCCATTCCGACGAAGTACAATAAATATGCAACCCGTGACGCAGATCATTGCTTTAATATATATTTACACCAATTTGAATTCTAAAAACATCGATTTCAAAACAAATAGACATTAATCTATTTTACATACAGTCACTTTCATAACAGTCCTTTATAATTCAGTGTAATATCTTTACATTTTGCATTGCTTACAACTGGATTCAACATCCAACTAAATCACTTCTAGACGAATTTTTATTTTTTGTTCTTTCACCTTTATTGATTTGGACCCTCATGACATTCAACGTTGATTTATTGTTTTTGAACAGAGCAAGAAAAACTAGGTTAAGAGGATAAAATTAGCTCACTATTTCATGATTTCCATTAGTTGCATACAATCTAGAATTACAATTCTCCATATACAATATAATGTACATTGGTTTGTGAAGTTTAGATAAATGTTCGAGACTTGAACAAAATCATAATAATAATGAGAATGGGACAAGTGTATGAACAAACATAGTTAAGATCGACGCGTATTTATATATTGGAAAGTAATAATGCAATGTAGAGCGAGTGTCATGGTTACCAGTAATCACATCTATATAAGGGTAATGCAATTATTAAGTGATTGGTGTAATCCCTTAACATGACACGAAATAAAATAAATGTGTGTGATTATATGAGAAACTAATATCAGAAGAAAAAGGAGGTCGAAAAGAAAATTATACTTAGCTAATATAATTGTGATATTTTGTTGTACCATTAAATTGTCCTTTAACAACTTTCCCTGATTGATATGTACCCTAATTATAGTAAAGCACCTAACGTATGACCGTAAAGTACCGAAATGAGATCGTAAACTGAAGTTAGTGTTTGGGACAATACAAAAACCTACTCATATATCTGATTAAGTAGTCTAGAGTTTTAAGTTTAATTTGAAATGGATAACTGAGTTTTGTTTCAAACGTACGCTTGTTTTGAAAAAAAGATTTATTTAAAAGTTTACCCATTTTTAAGTCGTATCAGCGTCAAGTTGGTAATGTTCCCACCAAATCACACTTTAATAATTGAAGTGACTACAAAATCATCTTTGAGATTTAATGTTTCAGCACATTGGTTGTCCTTCAATATTTCCCTGTTGTTTAATTCTCTTTAAGTTTCTGTCTACTTTTCATACTAATCAGGTTACAAATAAGGGCAAATTACGCACTTCTGGATGCTATCTGCTAAAGATTGTATGTTACTGTAGACCATAGCTAGTTAACGTAGGGACTGTGTTTAGAAATATGATTTTTTTGATCAACTGTTAAAATATCTGTAAATAACTAGGTTTACTAAATGATCAGTCCCGTATTTTTATTTAAACAGAAGTAGACTTGAGTAAAGAGAAGGTATGGTCGGAAAAACCCGAGAGCATACAATGGTTTTGTTCCTGTTTCTCTGTTATGTTCAATGGTATTTTGCATAGATTACTCAATTTCATCTACCTAATCAAGAGCAATATGTACTCATATCTTCTGAGAATTTTATAACTGTCCAATAGTTGCGATAAAGTATGTATAACTACAAATTCAACCAAAGTATTTCCACTTACTATACACTCAAGAAAACAGCACAATATATTACAAGATTTACATCACAGACTAATCTTAGTTAGACAGCAGAAGAAAACCAGGAAGCTCTGGATAGTTGTTTCTTTCTGGTGAGGGACTCCTCGGCAGCGCATATCTACGATTCTACCTCGGTTGAACCCGAGGCCTCTTGATCTCACGTTGGGCTCAGTGATATAGATGGTTCAGCACTCATCTGCGATGTAAACTTTGAAATTCAACCTCCATACACCCCATATAGTAACAGTATATTGCGTATGCCTTCATATTAAAAGAAAAACGGCGTTAAAAGAATGCAAACACGAATAATCCTATAATTGTCATGTATAATAAAATCTGAGGGTCAGCTGATACATACTAGCTTGTAGTTATTATATCAGTGAAGTTAAATTCAAAAGTTAAGTAAGAACACACAATTTCAAAACATGAGTCTAAATGATAAAAAAGTCATTTAATTTTAATTATAGGCAGCTTTTCTCAAGCCTTTGTAAATACTTTGTAAAGCTATTAAATTAAATATAAAAATAAATGCCATTCTCGATTATATGATTAATGTTTAAGAGATAAACATCTTATAGACACTTTTTGCACAAGTACTTTTAACTGTACTGTAACAATATTAATGAGTTACGGACTTGAGATAAGCACCATTATGAGTTTAGAGTTGATATACACTTTGTATTTGTTTGTGAACAGGAAACATTTTACTCCCAGCAATATCTATGTCGCACCGTACCACATTACACGTGCTTACACGATATCAAAGAAAAGTAAATCAAGGATGTGTAAGAGGGAGTAGTTTTCATAAACCCCATAGAGTATAAAACTATGATTTTTCAAACAAAAATTTTATTTATATAAAACAGGAATACCAGACTCATAATTTTATTTTACACACCATGGATCATACGTTCTTTGTTGATTAAATGTGTTGTTTGATTGATCAATGCCATTAAATTTCTAGTATTGTAAGACCAATCATTTAAAACTTCCGTCGGCATTTTTTTGGCTATAAAGTGTACCACTCCTTCAAGTCGATCAATTTTAGCATAAATTGTTTTATTTACCACTAATTTCGACAGATATTCCTCAGTTTTCTAAAGAAAAATACAGACAGTAAACGTATAGCAAAAACAGTATTAATGGAGAAATGATTCGAATAGCCGAAAAATATCAACATTATTCCCTGAAATCGAAGTAGTTGCAATGGATTCCACTGAAGTAAAAAAGTATCTTGGTAGAAGTGCTTTGGAAGGAAAATCAGGAGCACACTATCCAACGAAGATCCCACTTATGCGTACACTCAGAAGATAGGTGAAATATTTGAGTAACCCTAACACCACATTTATTTGTATCACATGAATTGATGATATTGAAATACTTTTAA